GTTCAACAAGAAGTTCGAAGATGGCTTGCATTGCGGAGTCATTCGATACGTTGGTGTACAGTGCGGTAACGTCGAAAGACGTTGTTGTTAAAGTCGCTGTGAGTCGTTATTGTTAAAGACCTCAATGAAAGCACCCTTGTGAAGGCATAATGATAGCAAGGGCGGGAGGAAGTCAAAATTGCTCCATGTCTACAATCTACAAATTATCCGGAAAAACTGCTAGTCGTAGTGACCAGAGATTGAAAAATTTGCCAAATGTCGACAATTCACACAACGCCAACGTCATTTATTAACTTAACAGCTCAGGTACCTCCCACTTAGCGTATGTAAGTGGATACTTCGACAACTGGGTTTATTTTTGGCTAGTACGCATGGGATTCATCCTCCTTAGTGGTTGTTTCAAGAATTCAACATTTTTACCACTTTATTTCTTACATGCGTATTTTCATTTGGCATTTGTAACAACCTCTTGACTTAAGCTCGTTGTCGTCGAATAGGCGACAGGGACATTATGGATAATTAATCTGATATTTCTGCATAAAAGTCACGTCAAAGTTCCTTCATCTAAAAAACCATAACCCTTTTCTCCCCAACTTCACGCCTGACTCCGTACTACCTATAGTAGATCAGACCCTTGTTCTATCACTTGGGAAAGTTCATTTGAAAATCGGACATTGTTTTGTTTTAACCTTCCTTCTTCTTTCTACTTCTGTTCAGCAATACTTCTTTCTTTTCCTTCTTCCTTTTTCTCCTTGCTTTACTCCAGCAATAAAATTTTTCATCTCAAGAGCTGTGAAAAGCGCAAAATCGCAGAGAATTTGTGGTACACCTCGCCTTGAATTTTTACGTCACCGTCACCTTCAACGCACTGATAATTTTAGGATGTTGGCTCTATTCGCTTTTTTTCACGTCTACAGCGAGGCGGCGACGTCTTTCATGCACTTTCGTGATCCGAACGTATGGTCGCCACTACATCAACTGGACGAGACGAACAACATTCACAAACGTTCAGCTTATAAATGGACAGAGGAGTGGTTTGATGATGTACCTGTCGACCACTTCTCATTCGCCAATAGGGACAATTTCAAGCTACGGTAAGCAGTCCACTTTAAAGCGCCGCTGCAATGAGTTTCGGCTTTGCCATGACCACAGTGATCAACCGATAATTCAGATATTCGAGCTGAGTGCTGTCTTTTAAAAATTCTGTTGAATGCATTTGGAAGTTTGGGTAATAGTACCCAGGAAGCAATAACTTTTTCACGAAGAAAAAAAATTTTTTTTGAGTTGAGATTCTGGCATAATGGGAAAAAAGCCTAACATTGTCTAGAAAATATTTTCTTCAATTAATCACCTCTTTAACCATAGTTAAACTTGCAGGAGCGTGGGAATAGTAGTAATAATAGTAGAAATCCTTCCCAGTAGCGTGAATCTGCAATAGTCGTACATCTTCCATTAGTATGCTAATCCTAGTGGCGGACGTGGCGCAGTGGTCGGAGGTACCCTGCAACGCATACATGGGATCGCTCCTCTCGCCCGTGGTTCACCAAGCTTTTCATCCCTCTGGAGTTGGCAAATTGGTACCATGTTTGTCTGGGAGGATACCAGCACTGACTCGGTACATCGGTAGGCCACCGCGAGTCGTTTTAAAGGCCAGATATGAATTTAGCCGCCTCCAACGATGTCTAGTGAAGTCGAATGCAGGGCGCCCCTCGCAGACTGATCAGCGCCGAGAGCTTTATTCTTTTTATTCCTTTTTAACCATAGTAATAACTTACTGTCTTTTTAATAAACATACACAAGGTTGTTGCGGTACTATTTATTTCTCCATAAAAGCCGACATTTCGGCGATTTTCGCCTCCTTCAGAGTCTGGAAGCACCAAGTTAAGTGCAACGTTGTCAGTCAAATACCTTCGTAATTTCAACAGAGAAAATCTAATACCTAATTTCAATTCCATTGGGAATAAAACAGCTTTTTCACGCCGATACTGCTATCTGTATGTTCTCCAATAAGTATTCCTCATGAAGGTCCCGTAAAGCGTTCACATGGTTGGATAATGAACCGCCGTCACATTAAAATGTTTGGCAAGCTTAGATACTTTGGAAAATCCGGTGTGACAACGAGGCATTCCTTCCTGCAATTCATTTTTGGATTCTTGGAGTTTATACAGCATACTTCGAGGGTATTTCACTCTGATGTTTTGGATTCCTGTGAGAGGATAATGACTTCCACTTTAAAATCCCTCCCGCTTTGTCTCTGGGTCTCATGTGAGCCTAGTGGAGCGGGGAGTTTAACATTCTCGTGACGTGTGACACTAGAAGTGTTGAAATCGTTTTGCGGAAGTGGCATGTCAGACAGCTATAGGTTTCATTTTCTCTTTATTGGTTTATTTTAGCACAGAGAACTATTTTCTTCCAATGTAGTCACTTTTATTTACTACCCGTTCTTTGTTTATGGCGGGGTATGATGTGAAATAAAGCCACAATGATGCCGAGATGTTTGCAAAACTCCGGACGACAGATGTCTGTGGTGGGAAACGAACCCGATACCACCTTTCATTGTGGTTATATTCCTACATTGTTATCATTTGACATCTTGTAAAACATAGATGTTGTAGTTAGGATTGGTCAGTATAAACTCAATTCTGCAAGCAGAAAAATGCAAAAAACCGTTTTTCGAATGGGTCAAGTTAGCAGAAGCTTAGACTGGAATCAACTACTACTTCAATTCTAATTGATGTAGTGGATGATTGCTATCGTGAGAGTGTCTTCGTACAAAAAATAGCAAAATAGAAACCCATAATTTGCAGAACACTTTTAAATGCTAACAGTAATGTGTTCGTATGATATGATTTACCATGGTGAAGCACAGTAAACAGGAACATAAATACCATTCATACCCATAGAACGATAGGGAAAAGTATTTTCTACAATCCATTCATGCTCGCAACTCGCCATCCCTTCAGTTGTCGCAAAATTTTCGCTTATTTCAAAAACCAGCGAGTCCATAGAGGCTGAAAATTAGGCTTCATTAGGTCCACAACGAACTTAAAATTGGGCGTCGCCGCGAGATTGTTAACTTTACGCTTACATTATTACGTTATTATTTTGTTGGTGCTGTATCTTATGTTCGAAAATATACTGCTCCATTACCCACCCTCTCGCTCAGTGTGCCTGAATTGATGTAAAGCATGCGGGACGAATATATTGGCAAAACGGAGGGACCAATCTGCGTCCACATAACAGAGCATCTATACGGTTCGCCAAGCTGAGTAAATTACTCCACTACGGACACAGGGCATAGACAAATAACGGGAAGTTTTTGAAGTAGAACTGACGTCCTCGCACACGAATCTCGACTACGTAAAACAGTGCAGGTATTCCGGATAAATTCCAAGAATCCAAAAATGAGCCTCAGGGAGGAATGTCGCATTATTACGCGAGATATTATATGGTATCTCGCACAGATATTTTAACATGACAGTTGCTCATTGCCCGTCCATGTGAGCTCTGCTCGGTTGGTCTCCACGTGAATTACTCAGCGGAAGACTCGTAGAAAGCGCTGAGTGTACGAAGAAGCTATTTTGTTCCTATTTGATTGTAAAGTAGGTGTCGTGATTTTTCTGTTGGGGTTATGGAGGTATTTGGTTAACCAGATTATAATCAACTTGATCATTCCATCATCTAAATAAGGCGAAATCGGCGAAATAGCAGATTTTATGGATAAATAAACACTGCAGTGATAAGCTCGTGTGTGCTTGTAAAGGAAGCAGTGAATTATTGATCAATGCCATGGTTAGCAGAAAGGCGGTCTTGAGAACCACGCCACAACCATGATGCTCTAATGAATTCCACGGCTCTTTACAAGGTACTAAATAAGAAGAAAATATGTTCGCTTGTCATAATAAGCTCTCTTACAAAACGCAACTTTAATGAAGAATACTCCTGAAGAGAAATATGGCATTTTAAGCTGATTATTCAAAAATTGTCCTCATTTCCGACAGTATTGAATTAAGTGGAAGTAGGGTATCAGCTGTTTTTTTGCAGGTATTTTCTTAACATCGAAAACTACAAAGCAGGCGGTGCGATCTTCTTCTATACGGGAAACGAAGGAAATTTGGAAAGTTTTGCGATAAACACGGTGTGTTCGATGTTTGAATGCTCAAGAAGTAACGGTCAAATCTGTAGAAATTTATTTAGTTACTAGCACAGTATATCGTTTAGCTAACTGCAAAGAACCTTTATTATTTTTAATTTATTTTATACGACCAGTCTTCATGTCTGCTGTGTGGATCACAGCATTCTCACATTCGATTCGTTTCCTCGCATGCATTGTCCACGCAGGTCTTCCAGTATTCACATGTGGCTTCGGTGGCTGCTTGAGGATTTTCATTTCATCTTGAATGTCGTAGAATGCTCATCGAGCAATTCTCCCTGGAGTCCTGAGATAGCCGGGCTGGAGCGTTCCCAACTGGATTGCGAGAGTGATTTTTCTTCTTGGACAAGGCGGGTACCGATTTCACAACACCGGAGGGATGAGAGGCTTGCTTGGCCCGGAGCGGAATCCAACTAGCATCATGGTTCTAATAACGGACATCTCTGCCACTGTTCTACCCGCTTCTGTAGAAACCTTACCAAAAATAGTTTCAAATGGTCACAACTTTTCAACATTGAATCCCCATTTTGTAGGCCGTGTTGTTAGTTCTTCAAAATAGAGGTGTCCTGAAACAAACATTTAACACATCAGTCGGCTTTCGGAAATCATTCCAGGAAGCAAAAATACATCCTACCCTATGGTGCTCAATGTAGAAATTTTGAGAGAAACCTGCTGTTTATTTTTCAGAACTACAAACTTTTTTCAGGCCTTTAAAGACCTATCCGACATCCATCCTCCACCGTCAATTTTTTAAATTTCACTTTTTCCGCAATAGGTGAATTCCTTTGAAAATCATCTGCCTCGCACGCACATCCATCCACTCTCTTCTTGAAGTATTTCGCTCTCGTATCACACGAACTTCTTTTTCATATACATTGAAAGAGATTAGAATTTGTAAAGATTTGTGAATTTCATGCTGTGAAAATTTACGTAAAATGAAATATGGGGTCAATAGATTCCATAGAAGGGAGTTTTCGCATTCGGTTTCCACGCAAAGAATTTGCCGTGGTCACAAACTAAACCCATGTATGAGATTAGAGTTGATACTCGATGGACTAAGGGTACGTCACTATCGCAAAACTGGCAGCTGATACACCAATTCTGTTCATGCCAACAGCACCTCTCCTTCACATATGTAATTTTTAATGACTTTTAGACAGTATGACGTCTGCTAATTTAACTGTCTCCGAGCGGTCGGTAGACTAATCACATGATGTGTTGCTGTCATAGGAGTGAATTACAGCCCTGAGGCAACCCTAGTCGGAGGCTAGAATATTCCTTCCGACCGGCAAACGACGTCAACTGCCTCTGATCAGAATTTCAGAATACCGTAGCACGATTTCTTCCGCTTTACAAGTGAACTTGCAATCGACCAGTATTTATTACGCTAATAGGCAAAGAGTCCACAGATTTTCAATTTTCAGCCGGATCCATATCTGATTTCAACTTCCTTTACAGAAGGCGGTTACAAAATAGCGACACGAAGAGAGGAAGTATTATAGGCTTCATGACATGTGAAGACTGGTAATCTAGGTATTTGGATAAATGGGTATTGGTCTCATTTGAGTCGGCGGAAGTTCGGCTATTACGTCGTTCTCGATCACTTCCGGTTAATGAGAGGGATCACAGCTGTCCTCGAAGAAATATGGTCGCAGTGGGCATTTCTCCGATAGGCAACTGCGATCGCTCAGCTGTGCCGGACAGATGTGAACGGAAAGAAAAAGAAAGCAAAAAACACCTTACATAGCTCAAATAAGCGGGGAGACGTGAATAGTAAAATAGCCTTAACCGTTGGAACGGAGTTTTAATAGACTCTACTAAAATCTTTTTATTTGGTTTATCAGTTTTCCTTCCATTCTTTAGCCTTTGTTTGGGGAATCAAGAAATCTTGCCAATTTTAAATTAGTGAAGATCTTTTCTGGAATTTCCCTAAAGCACTGTTCATCCAGCGTAGTCTTAATGTACTGGGCTTAAAAAAAACCACCAGTTTCTTTCGTCTTCGTGCGTTCATGGTTTTTGTCTCCCTTTTTCAAAACCTTTCCACTAATTGGTGAAGATTTTTTGAATGTTTTGCCTACCGTGTCAAAAGCAAAAACGATGAAGGGTAAAATTGTCCGGCATTGATCAGTCTGTGGTGGACACGTTCTGCATTCTACTCCATTCATAGCACTGCAGACGGGGTTGAACGTATAGTCGGTTTATACAATGACTTGCGGAAGGCCAGATCGAACCAAGCACTGTGTGAGCACTGCGGTGCAGCTCTAGTCACTGAGCTACACGCACACTTTTCAGCAATGGACAATTCATGTGCAGTTTCAAAAGCTAAAATTCCTTCGAAATTAACAAAATCAGATGAAAGACCTGCAGAGTCGTAAAAAAATCTGCTGAGAATGGTTTTTCCAGGGGTTTATGTGGGACATTGCACCAGAGTTCCATGCAGCCGTCGTCTTCGCTGAGCATCGCTTCTACGGAAAAACACAACCGTATGCCAACAGGAGCTACGATACAACGGATCGCCTTGGCTATCTCAATTCAGAGCAGGCTCTGGCTGACTTTGTGCTGCTTATCGACCACCTTAAGCAAACGGTCAGTTTTCTCTATACGAAAAACTGAATGGAGAATTAAACCACAATGATGCCGAGATATTTGCAAAACTTCCGACCGCTGGTGTCTGCGATGGGGATCGAATACGATATTATCCCTTCTGGGGTCTAACGCCTTCGCCACCGCATCATACGTGTCCTTCGTTTCGCCTGTCTCTCAGCTAGTTTTCTATCCGTCACTGCCATGAGAACGCGTGCCATCAGTGTCTAATTTTTATTTCCAGCGAAAGTTCAGCTAGTTTTCTATCCATCAGTGCCATGAAAGACAAGCGAAACGAAGGAGCCGCATGGTGTGGTGCTGAACGCGTTAGCCGCCAGAAAGGGAGTAGCGTGTCCCTTGCCCACCGCAGACACCTGCAATCCGGAGTTTTGCAAATATCTCTGCATCATTGTGGTTATATCACACATAATACGCTGATGTGAAAAAAGGATATGGGCAATAAACAGAAACTTAGACATTAAAAGACCAGCATTTACTCTACTCTGTCAGTCAAGTGTGCATTTGTGTACGTTTACATCAATAATATTAGTAACATAACACATCTCCCTCATAGGGGGATTTCAGCGGGTTAGACGCGAGGCATTGTGGCGTGTCGCTAGGTGGCGGATAGAGGGTCAACTGCTGACTAAAAGCGACCTTTACTTCATTGAGATGCAGATGAATCCAGGTGATGGACTCTCTATTTTTGCTGCGCTAATTTGCACATACTCTATGCATTTATGAGGACGTGGTTCGAGTGCGGAGAGGCTGCAAAATCTTAGCGCCATTCCATGCTGCCTAAATCGCAAAGGACTAAGGTGACGATCTGTGATGTACGCACACTTGCCTATGAAACCTAGATAGAGGACTTGATCACGTATGCAAGAAGAATGAGGTACTACGTCGTCGTTGAGACGAAAAGAGGCCCACAAATCCAACACCAACCTATGACATCAGAGAAAAACTGTTCCTTGGAACATGCGACAATAGAGGAATCAGCGGCGTTCGTGTCCTCCTCAGCACAAGTTTGGCTATGAACATCGACTAATTCAGACAACTAGCAACATGATTTGGACGACTACGATTGAAGAGATATGAATCACTGCGTTTTCGACAATTTTCGTCGTCTACGCACCGTCATCCAGTTATGACGAAGACGATATAAAGGCGTTCTATGTGAACATAAAGAAGTTCTACAGCGAAAACCTCAACTTCACTTTTTTTAAAAGTTATCACTGAAGACTTCAACGCTAAAATTAGAACCAAAAAAACGTCTGATGAACGTCGCATTGGGAATAACGAATCAGAATGTAATGAACAGGATATGAGGCTGTCTGAGTTTATAATGACGGCCAAGACCTTTCATAGCAGCTCGCATTTCCAGAAACTCCATTCCTAATGCTTGATGTGAAAGTCTCCCAATGGAGAGTAGCATAATGAAGTAGCCCACATTATAGTAAATCGAATGTTTTACTTGACCGATAATCTGTTGTCGCAAAATTCTAGACGGAATCAGAACATCGCCGCCTTCGTGCAAGATTTCATTGCTCCCGAAAAGGAGTGGAATCCGCTAGATTCAAAAAAACAAGGTTTCAAATCCGCCATAAACTGGGATGTATTGAGTCCACTTGTCGGTTGTTAGAAAAATGCCGTCGTTGACAACATCGACAATCAATACAATCGGCTCATTCTACATCTTCATGTTAGTGCTATGAAAACTGAGAGTTCGAAAGTCACTAAGAGACGTCTGTCTCCAGACATTCTCGAGCTGATACGACAACGTGGAATCGCACGAGCTGTAGGCAACCGTCAACGCTAAACGAATCGATGTTCAGTGATGCTCAACCAGTCCAGTGAGCAACGCACTGGACTGTTCTTATACGCGTTAGGAAGAAATGGAAGATTTACCGGTCCTCAATCCACGATCAACAGAATGACAGATGATACAGATGAATATTAGTGATAACTCATGAGAAGGTCTCTTGATAACTCATTGATTTTACCAGCTTCACGTTAACTCTATTATTCTGGAAAAAGTGTTACTTTACGCGATATCGACGAGGAATAGAATTGTTTCTTAACCTTTTTATTTACTGCCTATTCTTTTTAACGGCAGGCTCTTTTGTGAAATATAACCACTATAATGCTGAGATATTTGCAAAACTCCGGACCGCAGATGTCTGTGGTGGCGAACGCTGAGAGACGGACGAAACTAAGGACCTGGATGGTGTGGTGGTGAACGCGTTACTCCCCGGAAGGGACAATAGTGCGTTCGTTCTCCACCGCAGACATCTGCGGTCCGGAGTTTTGCAAATATCTCAGCATTATAGTAGAATTGTTTCTGACGCTCCATTCAGGCTCCGTGAAAAAATTTCTCCTAATGCTCCAGATGTGGGTATACGGTCAGAAAGTCAAGGTCATGAATTACTTAACCCCGGTGTTGAATTGATGGCTTAGGAAATATTCAATACACAACTCCGCGTCCAAGCTTTCGACTCAAGAATTCTTACGTCTTATCACACACATCGGAAGCCACACATAAAGATTAAACTAATAGAGCAACCGTGGTTTTCAATGCCTCAAATACTCTTTTGATCGAGAAATCATCGTCTATCGACGAAAAACTAGTTGCTGGTTCCTGTGTTGAAATCACATTTTTTTACCTTGGCTTCCTAGCATTTAATACAACAAAAGGATCAAAAATAATTCTTTTATAGAAACTTATTGGCGCGCAAAAATCACCAGTGATTGCTTTTGGTGGATCATACGGTGGGATGTTGGCGGCTTGGATACGGATTAAGTATCCGCACAAAGTCGATGGGTAAGTGTTAATTTTAATGGATGAATAAATGAAAGATAGAATATTCGACGTTAAGTAATCTCTGCAATACAACGCTGAGTGTATTGCAGGCTACCTCGAAAACGTAAAGGACTTCCCATTCCGAAAGCCTTATCCCTTAATCTTTACCCTATTTCTACCGAGGCAAATTGTTCCATTTTATCCCCTTTCAAAGTTTTACGCAAGCCTCCAGTTTCCACCAGCGCAAAGTCTGACAGAGAATGTGTTCTTATCTCGCCTGTACGTTTGAGTAGCCATTTCATAAGTCTTTTAAAGTGGATAGTAATAACGAGTTTTCCAGAATCGAAAATGCATAGGATCGATTAAATTAATTCCTTTCTTAACAATAGGAAAGGTTTTGTCAAGGAAGCTAATAAATGAACCACATTGAAAAAATTGCTATCATAGTATCTCTAACACTTAAAATCCGAAGCCTCAATCCGTGTGACTGACACGTTTTTACTCAATTTTAAATTTTTGTCGCTATGAGTCAACTCACACCAGCCCGGCTTTGAGCTTACTCACGAGTAGAACCCATTCCAAGCGGAGACTATTCGTTAAATATATTAGAATATAGGAACTCAGCACATGAAACCATTGTATGTTACTGTGTGCGTTACCACATGCCAAACTTAGTCATATGCTTTGGATTTGTCTCTTCTGTAGAAGAATTTTTCAATAGGAAACATTCAGAGCCATTGCCTCGTCAGCCCTAGTGTTCTGGTTCATAGATTCCAAAATTCCAGCAGACATCTACGATAAGGTGCACTTATTTCACTTAAATATTATCACTCTGTCCATTGTTAATAATTTTCATGATGCAGTAGCTAATAGTAATCATAATAAAGCAATAATAATTCTGGTCGGCACGTGTTCAGTGATCGGAGGCGCCCTGCAACACACATGTGGGATCGATCCCCGCGCCCCTGGCTCACCAAGCCTTTCCATCCCTCCGCGGTCGCCAAATTGCTACCAGACTTGTCTGAAAGAGTAATAGCAGTGGCTCGATACATCGGTAGGCCACCGCGAGTCATTATAAAGGCAAGATATGCATTCAATCACCTCCAAACGATGCTTAATGAAGTCGAATGCATGGCGCATCCCTCATTGATCCACGCTGACTGTGGTGGGACGGCTCGATTATATAGGAATACCAAGTAGTTAAGATGATTCGGTCGGAATTTGCTGCTCGCCTTTGTGTATAACACGCGGGACTTCTTGTAAGTAGTAGTCACAAAGCCGAAAACCACAAACTTGGGTAATTAAACCGTTTATCATAATTATACAACAATTGTGGCATAACAATACAACTGTACAATTAATACAACAATCATACAAGTAATGAATAGGCGCAGCCTGATTTCTTGTGTTCAGGTTGCTCAAGAGTGAAGAGGTTGTCATCAGACTTCGACCACATGAGATCGATGTGAGGAAAGGATATGGTGATTTGGGCAGCATTGCTGTGACCTGAGCTAGTCAGCCGTGGAGCCGTTTATATACCGTTTGGGTTGGGCGGAGTCAGGCTACAATAGGCGGAGTCGCGTTACAGTAGGTGGAGTGGGGTTACAGTAGGTGGAGTCAGGCTACAGTATGCGGAAGGACGGCTGCCGGAAACATTTCACAAGCGTTACAATCTGATAAGGCGATAGTCAAAGCATAGGACTGTAACTGCAGATGTTTTTCATGAGATAACTGCCAACGAAATGTTAGTCATAAGGTCACCGGAAGCCGTATTCGAAAATGTTTGACATAAGGTTATCAGATCGTCATGGAGAAAAGGTCACCGGAAGCAGTATTTGAAATGTTTGACATAAGATTATAATTGATTTACATAGAGAACATTCCAATATTCGTAGAGAATGTTCTCTATACTGACAGCTTTATTTTAGATCTTTTTTAGTAGTAATTTTGAAAATATTAGCAGTAAGAATAGCATATAGTTACTAATTTAATAATCTTTATGATATACATAGTACCTGTTCATCCATAAAAATGAGAGGCAAATAGTAATAGTTAAGTGATAGCCCAATTATTACTTTGTATTTAAGTAGGAAATCAAAATTCTCCACCAGTTCAGATTGTCACTCGTTCATTTATGGCGGCAGGCTGCAATCGAAAAGCGATTGAAAAAGGATGGGTGGCAATGCGGAACCTTGCACAGACAGGTGTGACGTCGATCCATGATAGATTGAATAACTCATTGATGGAATGATTTGCCTATTGGTTATGCCATGGAATGGACTGCGAAACGGTCCTGTGTGGAAATCGTTTGATAGAAAGTAAATAGAATATGATATGAAAAGTTCGATTTGGGTCCAATTCGTGCTGCGTTTTGTTAACCATTCTTCTATCATTTTAGAATAATTGACAATCTTACAGCAAAAGCGCAAAACTTTTTCCAAGAAAAACATTTCATTTTTAAGCTTTCTTTGATTCATGCAGGGACTTTACCTTGTAAATGCCTGCCCATTCTCCTTCATTAACGTCATTCTTATAGCTTACGGTCGATCATACTTGAACGAGTTGTTTCATCTTGAGAAGAAATCTCGCCTTACTTCCGAAGAGGACTACAAATTTCTTTCCAACTACATCAAGGATGTGTTTGAAATAATGGCAAGGGTGAACTATCCCTATCCGTCCAATTTCCTCACTGCATTGCCTAGTTGGCCAGTGAAGGTATGAAAAGAGGGAGAGAGAGAGAGAGAGAAAGGGAGAGAGAGAAAACGACAGAGAAGGAAAAAGAGATGTACGGAAAAAATAATAACAAAAAACAGAAGATGCATGAGTACTCTTTCCAATTTCCACTTGGATTCGTGAAGTTCGATGGTTAAAGATTTCGTGCAATGTCGTCCCCACCTATCACCCACACCTCCACTCCACAATCAACCCCACCAATTGGAGTTCGCAAGCTTCTATCGGATTTGTTCCGGAAAACCCGACTCAAATCCGTAGCGTATAGGACAGCGTGTGGTGAAATCCTAGGAATAATTTAGGAAAGGTATCGCGGGAAGAAAAAAACCGGGATTAGACAGTATATATATATATATACAGCTGGATCACATAAAAAACAAAACCATTCCCACTTTTACATATATTTACGATAATTCTTTGCACACCTACCAACGGTTTACCGCCTCATCGTGGCTAGGAGGTGCTCCTGGGTGTCGGATTGCCACCTACAGCGAGAATTCATCCTCTGACAGGGTCTCCCAAGTTGAGAAGGAGTCCGGCGTTTCCATTAGGAAGCCTAGCTAAGACTAAGCCAATACCAGGATCCACTATCGTTCTGTTATCAAAGTCGCATGGTGGCAAATCTCTCTCTGTTCCACAAGGGCTGCGACTGCCTGTGATGGTGAAGACCTGGGGCAGACTTTGTCAAGACTGACCTCGGGATTCCAGGGAACCACAATGACTTAACCAGCAAGTCTCCGAAAAATGGAGATTGTGCCGGGGCCCGCACATCCAGGGAGGATGGGCCATTCAAATATCAAGGATCAAGTAATTCTTTACACAATCCAACGTGGCACAGATATTGCGCGGATTCTAGCGCTTTTATTTCACTATTCCGCTTTGTAGTATGTGTTATAATTATGACGAAGTAAGCGTGTGCTGAATAACAACCTCGCGGTTGCTGTAAAAAAAGTGAATAACAGATTTATAATCCAATGCCGAGGTTAATAGAAAGCCGATCTTAGAAACTTTTATTTCGTTCGTTTCCTCTCAGCACCATCATCCACGAATCTCTTCGGATTTTCATATGTGTTCTACTTCGTCATAGGTAAATAAATAAATAAATGAATAAATAAACAGATAAATAAGCGAAAATAAATAAATGTATATTTATAAGCACATATGTATGCCATCAACTAAAGTGTCATTTATTTAGGAGGCTTGCAAATTTCTTAGAAATATTTCTCAATCAGATGAGGATGCAGCCAAGCAGCTCTTCGAGGTACTTTTCGTTATGAAGTTAACAAATGTTATTATTATTGTCATGAATTATTGCTATAAGAGTAACAGTTCAAGCATCACCCTTACACGACGTTCTTAGTACTTATTCGAAAGGCCATCCAATAAGTTCCATGCTGGACGAGTTGTTAAATGTGGAGCAAAAACGACTTTGCTCATTGATTTTGGAGGAGATTTCTATTTTGTATTAGATGAGGGGAAAGCGGACGGAAACCGAGCCCTCTCCTCCTTCACTTCAAATTTACCTTTCGCAGAAGAGAGAACAATATGCAAACCTTCGGAAACGACATTTTACAACCATCATATAGTGAGAATCCTTTGTTCATATGGTCGGCTTTCGGAGTGGTTTCGATGTTGGCAACATTGGTGAAGAGTGCGAGCACAGTAAGACCTCATCCGTTCATTGCGACAGTGTTCAGGAAGTCGACAGGTTGACAGTCACCACAATGCTCCGATGGCTAGAAAAATTTAGGCTATTAGTACGTCATCATAGAGGTACACCTACCCCATTCACCTAGTAACCTAGTTCCGAGGTTCCGAACTTAGTAATCCGCCGAAACGTCAGCTCATTCGTGAATAAAGAATAATAACACCTCGCGTTTGCTCAACGAAAATACGAAGAATTACTTGATCAATGCCGAGGTTAATAGAAAGTCGGTCGTGGGAGTTAGTTCCGAGGTTTCTAAATTATAAAACGAAGGTGGCTGTTCTCCATCGTTATGTCGAAGGTTCCAACATTTAGGAAACGTAATGAAGTCAGTTGACTTTAGTGGTGCTTATGTGAGGGCGCTTAAAAGGGTTATTGTCATCACAATTGTTGTTACTATCTGGTTACTTTTTATTTACTGCCTATGGCAGAACACTATGTGAAATATAATCACAATGAGACTTAGATATTTACAAAACTCGGGACCGCACGTGACCGCAGTAGGTGGTCGAACATGCTACTACCTTTTCCGGGGCTAACGCTTTAACCACCAAATTATGCGAGTCCTTCTTTTCGCCTTCCTCTCAGCCACTTTATTGACCTGTAGGTGCTATCAGCAACCAGCCGCCAACGAGATTGATCTGGGGACCATAAGCCGGCATTGAACCCAGTTAAGGCAAAGTCGTATTATAAATCACAATGTATTACTCTTTATTTGTTGCCTGTAGCAGCGGATTATGCAGAATATAACGGCAACAAGACTGGAATATTTGCAAAACTCCCAACCGTAGGTGCCTGCGGTAGGGACACTACCACTCTTTCCGGGAGCTAACGTGGAGTCCTGATGGCGTAGTGGTGTGGTAGTGAACGCGTTAGCCCCCGAAAATGTGATAACGTATTCAGTCCCCACTCCAGACACCTGCGGTGGGGAGTTTTGCAAATATCTCAGCCTCATTGTTGTTACTCTTACTATTATTATCTTTATTATTATTATTGTTACTATTTTGACAGACGAGATAAATACAACACAACTAGCAGTCGAGCTATAGAGAAACTATAGTGTGGTTCAGTCTCTGTACAGACTTCATTCCCCAAGAATCCTTTGTCTTGCGTTTAACATTTGATGCGCTGATCTAACAGTTTGTTTGCATTCAATCAGTAAATGTTTATTTTAAAGGAGTTTCGAAGAAGCGCGAAACCGTGGGTGTGATGCAATGTAGTAGTAGTGTTCAAGGGCCACATTAAATTTGTTATCGAAACGCCGAGTTTTTCATCGAATTTGCTTCCCATGATCTAAAATTTTGCGCTGAATATTTTCTAAACTGAGGGCGGAGCATACGTCATTTATTAATCTCTCAGTGATGCGCCATACATTCTTCTCTATTCGTATCATCGTGGACTTGACTGAATATTTCATTTAAACAATGACTTACGATGCGCTCGTTCTAACTTTCCAAACCTGGAGGAGCGTAGGAATAGTTTACAGAGAGATTGTCATTGAACCAATAACCAAATGTGGACTGCAGTGCACTTCTAACCATTGCGCTACTCACGCGCTAAAAATTAGAGACATTAACAGTTTGATAACAATTTAGGTCGTCAACCTTTACTATAACTATACCGGAACAACAAAGTCACTTTGCGCGAATCCATCGTTTTGCTCCAGATTTGCCGCAGCTCTTGGCGATCCTTTGGGTTGGCCATGGCAGGTGAGGATGTTCATCTTTCTTATTCAGAAACTTTTTTTCAGATCAGGGGTTATATGCCTGCTTCAGTACTTTTTTTCTCTAATACGCGTATTCTAGTATTGTACGGAAATGGTTATGCCGCAGTGTTCGAGTGGATGGCCTAACGATTTTTTTTGGGAAAGCTGTCCATTCACCGTTCAAGGAGCGATTGACGAATGTAAAGTCTGGTATGCTTCCAAAAATGCTGTTCATTAAAAAAAAGCTAGTTGGGTGAAGTTGTTAAACTTTGAAATGAAGTTTAAAGTTTCAATTTTTTAACGCCAGCGCGGCAGCTAAAAATATTATCGATAGGTTGTGTTACATCATCGCATCATATCGCGTGATGCTCTGCTTCCTCAAACGCTTTTCCACTTGAGACAGGAGTTTTGACAAAAAAACGAGCAGAAAATATATCCTAGAATCTTCAAGCTATCCCTGGCGAGTATTCTTTAGAGTCTGAAGGACATTCTTTCAATTAATAAAGTTGACCATGAATAGAGATATTATGCTATTCTATTTCTTTGTCAACGCAGCTGGAGTTTCGCAACAAAGAAGAGCTTCTTTGCACACTCACGGCTTCCTTACACATTCCGATTTTCAATGTCATTGAAATCTTGGTTTAGTGTTTTCTCAGTTTGCTTATGGAGGTCTTGCGCTAGGTAGATTGCGGTCAAGTTGACTTTTCCACTCTCTGAGGAAGGCGAAATCCACCGAAACGTCAGCTTGTGAGTAAATAAAGAAATAAGATAACACCTCGTGTTTACTAAACAAGAATATAAAGAGCTGCTCGTTCAGTGCTGAGGTTAATGGATAGTCGGTCGTAGAAACTACTACAAGAGTTAATATGGTTAGACATTAGTGACGAAGTTATGGAAAAGGGATTGTAGAATTGTACAGTAGCTTTCAAAACGTTAAACTTGGGTGATTAAAATTTGATACACTAGGCCGATAGTAGATCAGCTTCCAGTTCGTAACTTCATGTTTCTGGTAAATATTTTAGCAATAGTTTCTTCTTCGAATGTGGTACTAATGCAAACATATGTACACATGTATACTTCATTGTAAAGCTCATTTTACGCAGCTTCGCTTCATGTAGTTGAATTACAACATGCATTATGTTTTTCGACAATTTAAAACAAATAACGTCAACATCCGGGAATCCAAAATAGTAATTTCGACAAATCTACCTTTACAAATACAAACTAGAACGCAGCTCCGCGTGAAAAGCTGCAGACATTAGCTACGTTTGGGATCATAGAACTGTTAAAGAATGCGAAGTTCAACGTTGGCTTCAAAAATTTCTTCGTGCCGTAATTCGACCTTTAAAATAATGAAGATCGCGAATGTGTCCCTGCCACTGACAGCGATGAATTGGAGGTCTTGGTGGAAGCAAACCGTGCTGGCTGGAAAATTTCCAGAAAAAGTCGGTGTGAACAAAACAACTTTGCGGTGCATCTAGTGGCAATTAGAAAGTCAAAAAGGTCGACAAGACTGCACCATTTGAGCGACAATCAAAGAAATCGTGGTTTCGAGGTAACGATGGATGGTGTTTTTCGACGATGATTGGCTCAGTAGTTGGGCAACAATGAGTTCGGCAACACTTTCCAAGCTCGGAGGTTCGTCAAAAGAAGGTCACGCTGATCTTTTGGCAGCTTAATGGTAGTCCATTTTAGTTTCCTGAATCCGAATCAAACGGCTATGGAGAAGATTTGCCCGAATGAAATCGACGAAATACACCCTGAACCTCAATGATTGCGTCTCTCATTGTTCACGTTGGAAAGGCAACAATCCACTTCGATAACGACTGGCCACACGTCGTAGTGCGGACATTGGAAGATTGAACGAACTGTGCTACGGAACTCTGCCTTATCCACCATATTCGTGAGAACTGTCGCCCACTGGGCACTACTTCTTCGAAGAATCTCGATAACTTCTTGCGGGAGAAATGCTTCAGAAACAAATCGAAGCTGAAACTTTCAACTACTTCATTGCCTCTGCATCTACTATTGTACGGTTCTATACAACTGGTATAGACAATCTTGCTTCTCGTTGATAAAAATTGTAGATTTTAATGGTTCTCATTTTTATTAATGAAGTTCATTCTGAGCAAAGATATACCATTTTAAAAATATAGGTTGAAATGGGTCCCGGTTTCCGAAAAACTCACTACAAGAACAATACAACAGTGATCAAATGGTGATGTCAAGAAATACATGTGTAAAAAACAAACAATAAAAAGAACAATCAGCAAAAGTGATACAATGGAGGGGAATACGGAAAACAGTAAGAACAAGTATTACAAGAACAACATGGCTATACCTTTATCATTGTATGAAAGGAATGACAAGGCAGCATTGTGACAGGGCGATCAAATGAATGGGGTGACAAATTTAGTAATGTCACATTGGCGGAGATCCCAGAACTTCTTCTACGCCATTGGCTTTCTGGCATCCATCGTCCACGAAGTTCTTCCAAATTTTCAAGGGTTTATTCGACTGCTGGTTAAAGATCGTTTCATCTTCGTCACAAATGTCGCTGAAAGTTGGTCGAGTAGATGCTACGTGGAATTCTGAGATAGGCCTGCTAAGGCGCTCCCGCGTGGATTGGAGGAAGTCAACTTGTTCCCGACTAATCTGCTACCAATAACAGAATTCTGTCTGCATGTGAACGAATCGATTACTTATGACATACAAGCTGTAGATGGAAGTCGTGGAGAAGGAACAATATACAAACAATTTGTCTACTTTGCCGAAAGACGCCCACCTTTGCGTGGCCGATGCGTGTCACGATGCCTAATTTTATGCCGTAGGAGGTCACAGTTTTTTAAATAGCAGGCAATAGTTCTTCGAAAACAAAAAGAATCTGAGTTGCTGAAAACATGAAAAAAAATACTTTGTCTGTTTGTCTTAGGTTATGCTTGAGATCCATGCTATTATTTACTGCATGCCACTATGCACAACTATCCGAACACATTTCTGTCGGCCCTTTGAACTGTTTTGCAGTTTACGTTGAGTTCATATCTCTTGTAGTAATTTCCAAGACCTACTCACCACTAATTAATTAAGCAATAAATTTAAAACGTAATTTAAAATATTAAATAATATAAGTAAAAAAAGCTCTTAGCATTGATCAATCCCTGAGAGGTGCGCCATGTATTCGACTTCATTAAGCATCGTTTGGAGGTGATCAAATGCCTATCTGGCCTTTACAATGACTCGCCGTGGCCTATCGATGTATCGAGCCAATGCTGCTATCCTTCCAGACAAGTCTAGCACCAATTTACCGATCCCGGAGGTATGGAAGGCTTGGTGGGCCATGGGCGTAAGGCTCGATTCCACGTGTGTGTTGCAGAGTGCCTCCGACCACAGCGCCACGCACGTTCTTAAATAAAGTAAGTGTAAGATAAGATATCTGTATCTTAAATAAGATAAGTGGTGTAAATAATAAAACAAATCAAATGAATTTAAGAATGTGTCGTTTTCTTGTTCAGCAATCGCGAGGTTTTTAAACAGCATACATTTACTTCCATAAAAACACAATACAATACAACGCTAGCTGACGTCTCGGCAGTATCGCCTTCTTCAGAGCCTGGAAGGGTATACTGATATACAATCTACTAGGCCAAACGCTTCAATAACACTTACAAGAAGACGAAGAACTCTCTGGCAATTACATAATCAACAACTTCTCGAAAAACCCACCGCTTTTTCGTGACTTCCAATGAGGAAGTTTAGAACAGCTGATTATAGTCGCATGTGGTTGACGACTGCACCATCCCACATNAATAATTGATTGATTGTGTCGTTTTCTTGTTCAGCAATCGCGAGGTTTTTAAACAGCATACATTTACTTCCATAAAAACACAATACAATACAACACCAGCTGACGTTTCGGCAGTATCGCCTTCTTCAGAGCCGCTTTTTCGTGACTTCCAATGAGGAAGTTTAGAACAGCTGATTATAGTCGCATGTGGTTGATGACTGACGACGAATTTAAGAATAAATGAAGAGTGAAATTTAATTAGACTTTAAATAAATAATTGATTGATTGTGTCGTTTTCTTGTTCAGCAATCGCGAGGTTTTTAAACAGCATACATTTACTTCCATAAAAACACAATACAATACAAC